GACTGTTTGAAGTTCGAAGTGTTAAACAGTCACTCTAAATGTAAAGGAACTTTCTTTTGTTCCTTAAACTAGCTACAAAGTGTTTGTCCATAGCCGTAGACAAGAGATCTAGGCGGAAAAAAAAACGTGTCATTCTTCAGACAAATTGCGTCATTGGAGGGCACAAAATGTTCCGTACAAAAATTGTTCCTTGCTTTGAAACAAACTTGTTGCGAAACAAGCAACTGATTTAACGTCTATTCGCTGGGACAAATATGTCTTGTCCACGAAACAGGAAACAAATTTGTCTTTAGGAGAGAGCAACATTGCAAATTGTCCTATCTAACGAATCAATTTTGTCTGTCGTTGGATTCATTCACTCGTTATGGACAACAATGTTCTTTATTTCAACGTATGCATGCAGAAGCGTATCTGCGGAGAGGCAACTGTATCAGTGAAAACTACTTCATACACTGGCTCCACTTCCCTTTCAAACCGTAGGTTTCCACTCTTAATCGGTATCGTCTGGTCTCGTTGGCGAGCGGCGAGCGCCCTGCGGGGTAGGCAAATCTGCTGCGCAGCGCGCGCGGGAGTGCGGCGGGACGGCCTACCTCGGGGGGGCTGAGGCACCGCACTGCAGCGAGCGGGGGAGGGGAGGGAGAGCACTGGCGGAGCGCATCACATCGGTCATCAGGGAGGCGAGGCGCGACAAGCTTCTTTTTTCCTGTTTTTTCTCTTTTACTTTGCCTCCTGCCCCCCTCCCCTTTTCTCTCCCTTGTTTCGCTCTTCTCTTCTCTCGCTCAGGCGGGGACGTACGGCGTGTGCTTGGTGAGCTTTGAAAGAGCGAACTAGCTCGCCAAGTAGACTCAGCCGCAGTGTTCGCGCTCCGCGTCCTCCATGCATCACCATGCTCACCCGAGATAATAAAAAAGGGGAAAAACGGGAGGGAAAAGAACAAGTGGATGAACAGTCCTGGCGTGAACGAGAGGGCGGCGGGAGATAGAGAGAAGAGAGAAACAAGAACAATAAGTGGGGAGACTGTGAAAAGTTGTGACGAGATTTATTTTTCCAAATTCCCCAGAATTGAGGAATCCTCACCACCGCAAAAATCTCGATGATTGTGAGGACAGAGGAGGAAGAGAATCAGTTTTGAAATACCATCCTGCTTCACCACGCATTCACTGCTGAAAACTCTTTTCTTCCTTTAAGGAGCTGGTTAACAATGCCAAATATTGGTGCCAACAACTACCCGGACTCCATGACAAATTTAGCACTTTTGTTTGCAATTTGAATCACATTGAATTACATTGTAGTGGCATGCCAATGCCATCAACGCCTAAGGTTTAATAATACGAGGAGTATAACCCTTTTTGAAATTGAAGAAGTTGAAGAAGTACACTTTCCAACCTTTTCCTTTATATTGTGAACAAGCGACGTGAGAAGGGGAGGGCGTGGGGACGGGAAAGTCCGAGTCCTTGTAAAATGCTGCCGAGCTGCTTTCTGCGCACGGCCATCACAAAGCAGAGGAGTGACCAGGACAGAGTGCGGAGCTGGGCTGGGCAGCTGCTGCCCCCCACCCTGTCCCTCCCCCATGCCCCACCCGTCCAGCGGACCTAAAGGGCTTCATTCTTAATTCAGGCCCTGGTCTGCTGTCCTCTCCGGCTCGCCCCCAGTCCAGCTCCCCTCTGCACTTGTCACTCCAACGGTGCTCCAGTTTCCTATGCCAGCAGGTCATTTCCAGGGAGTTTGTTCTGTTTTTGTTTCGGAGAAGGACGCGCGGGTGGTATAACGGCGGCGTGGGGAAGGAAGGGGCGGTAGCTGACAGATAGAAGACCCGAGACCACGACTGCTTTGTGATTTTCTGTTTTATTTTTGACGAGTTTCAGCTCCTTTTTGAAAAAGTCCCCACCGTGTAAGTTTCATCACGCAAAATGTAAATGTGCGACGCTGAATTGTACTGGTGCAGGCGAGGTTGAACAACGGGGGAGGAGAGGAGCGAGCGTTGAAACATTTGTCGCTCGACAAGAATGTGAACGCCGTGTAAGGTAGTTGGAGCACGCGCAAGCACGCGATGCCCCCGCGGCCTCGGCCTCCCCGCCTCGCTCACCGCGGGCACCCCTACTCTCATCCATGAAGTCGTGTAGGAAATCTCCTGGTCAGCCTGATCCTTTATGTCCCCCTCTTCCCCCCCCCCTGCTTTAACCCCCCAACCGCCTTTACTCCTACTACTTCAACTTCAACGAGGGTTCCAACGACTCAAGTAATAGTGAAGCCTGTTGACATCGAGCAGACGGAGGATTGAGTGACATGGAGGGGGGAGAGGAGTGGGTGGAGTGCAAAGAGAGGGGGAGGGGACGAGATGGAGAAAGAGAAAATCCCACAGCCTGAAAGAGAGAACG